ATAATTCATTACTTTGGTGATAGTAACATACCTGACTTTGGCCTTCCAATTTCACAACTTGAAACAAAATCCCCTAGACTACCCAGACAACATACGGGTTTAGGTACTACTTTCTCCTATATGTATAATCTGCACATGGCCAACTGAATGGCTTTATGTTGGGTTCCACTATACGTTTTATCCCAGTGTACCCCCAACAGTGAGGGAACAGGAATCATTCAATTTATAGCTAGAAGACAAGACCTAGCTTGGGGGAGCTGTTTGCTAATAAGTGATTAGTACCAGGATACGTACAGAGAGGTCCTCAAACAAGTGGCTCTGGAGCAGCTATAAGTGCCAGACCTCCCAGTTTCCAGGACTGGCTGCTTGCCGTCCAATTTTTAGCTGTGTCGGTCCTCCACTGTCCTCGCACCCCTCTTCATTCCACTTCCATGGGCGTTGACTTGTCCCTTTTGCCTCAACAGCTGTGTCTGCCAAGCTCCTAGAACAGTGATGGCGAACCTATGACACGCGTGTCAGAGGTGACATGCGAACTCATTTTTTTGGTTGATTTTTCTTTGTTAAATGGCATTTAAATATATAAAATAAAAATCAAAAATATAAGTCTTTGTTTTACTATGGTTGCAAATATCAAAAAATTTCTATATGTGACACAGCACCAGAGTTAAGGTAGGGTTTTTCAAAATGCTGACACGCCGAGCCAAAAGGTTCGCCATCACTGTCCTAGAAGAACTGGAGAAGCCTTATGAGGACAGCAGATCTTCCATCTTCTCTTGAAAGGCACAGGGCTCTTGACAGCCACTGTCCCAGAGGCTTCTGAATTATGTTTGGCACTACTCCTGAGTGCAGTGGAAACTTCATTCACAGAAGAACTAACTCCCTCTATAGCTGGCTGCTGTGTTTGTGTACCCGGGGTTTCTCATAAAACTGAGGCTCATTGACAACAGACAGGAAAGTCCTGGTTTCCTAAGATTCCCATGGTGAACCTGCCACTTTCCCAACTGCCCAATACAGCGCTTTTGTGTGACTCCTGATTTGTTCCCCCCTTTGCTAGTTAGTGTCTCATGGTATCTAAATGAAAGTATCTAAGTGAAAGAGGCCAGATACAACAGGTTACATATTTTAGGATTCTAATTCTATGAAATGTCCAGACTAGGCAAATCCATACAGAACAAGGAGCAACTGCTTAATGGATACAGGATTTCCTTTGGAGGGATTCCAATGCTTTGGAACAGTGTTATTGTACTTAATGCCACGGAATTGTTCACTTGGAAATGGCTAATTTTATGTTACATGAATTTCACCCAAATTAAGAAAAATTTTAAAGATTTTTCCGAAAACATTGAAACAAGTAAAAACATAAAACAGAGCTTCATAAAAAGCAAAAATACTAGAAATGTATTCTGAAAAAGATTAAGCTGGACGGGCTAGAGTCCAGTGATGGCGAACCTATGACACGCGTGTCAGAGGTGACACGTGAACTCATTTGATTTTTGTTAAATGGCGTTTAAATATATAAAATAAATATCAAAAATATACGTCTTTGTTTTACTATGGTTGCAAATATCAAAAAATTTCTATATGTGACACGGCACCAGAGTTAAGTTAGGGTTTTTCAGAATGCTGACACGCCGAGCTCAAAAGGTTCGCCATCACTGGACCGCTAGACCGTCTAAAATACCGGCTCTTCCACAAAATACCAACTTCTGCGCATGGGCCACGAAGTTTCAATCCCACTGTACGTGCACGCCCGCACGTGGTATTTTGTGGAAGAGCCACACTCAAGGGGCCAAAGAGACGCATGTGGCTCGCAAGCCGCAGTTTGCCGACCACGGGAGGGGCTTAATGTCTTCAAGTACATGAAGAACTGCTATGCAGAAGCTCAGGGTAAACATGTTCACATTAATACAACTGATTCTGAAGTAATAGAACAAACAAAGGATCTTCACTCTATTGATGCGCTATTAACTAATTTGAAATCTTGCTCCACCTGCTGGACTCTAATCCATTCTCATCTACACAGAATCCGGTAGATCTTTTTAAAATGTAAGATCATGTCCATCCCAGTTAACACTCCAAAGTGGCTTCCCACTGCGCACCGAATGAAATCCAAACTCCTCGTCCCAGCCTGAAAGGCCCTGCATAACGGGCCCCGCCTTCCTCTCTCTTTCTCCCATCCCACCCTTCCCCTGACCCTGAAGCTCTAGCCACAAACCCTCCGTTCTATTCCAAACATGCAAAGTCCTCTCCCAGCGGAGGCTGTCAGCGTGCGCTGTGCCCGGGGCTGCAGGCACAGCTCTTGGCACAACCAGCTCTAACGTCTCCTGAGATGTCCTGGCCCCACTACCGGTCTCCGAGGTCGTTGTCTATCAGGACCCGTTCCTGACCTCGCAGCACGACGCCCAACGGCTCACCGCGAGAGGGCGACACGCGCTGCCGGGCCGCGCGGAGGCGACTGTGGGCGCGGCGGTTCGGAGACTCGGGGGCATTAATTCGGGGCTGCCACGCTGACTGGGGGGTGAGCCCGATTCTTCAGCGGGTCCTGGTGTCGCGGGGCTGGCGACTCGGGGCAGCGGCACCGGGCCTGGCCGGAAGCGCTCGCTTTCGCTTCCGGTAGCAGCGCGGGGGGGGGGGGGGGGCCGAGGCCAGGAGTCACGGCCTCCTGTGGGCGGAGGGGTTTGTGGGCCTGCGCCCCGACCCTGAGCGGACCCCCCCAGCTCGGCCCTCGCGGCTCCCCGAGCGTCGCGCAACGGGTTTTGCGGTTGAGCCGTAGGAAGAGGGAGGGGCCTCTTAGAGACCGAGCTACCGGTATCCCAGGTAACCAGGAACCGCTTTCCCTTTGGAGTTGGCTGCGGAGTCCCGGAGACCTGCGGCCGCGGCAGGCGGTTGGAGGCGAGACGCCATTTCTCGTGGCCGAGCGGCCAGAGCCAGGCGCCGGCCTCAGGCCCCGGAGGTCCCGCTTGCTGCCCTTTGCGCAGCGACTCCGGGGCCCGCGGGGCGCTCACGGAGCCCGACTGCCCTCCGGAAAAGCCGCGATCCCGCCCTGCTGGGTGTTTGGGTTGGTTTGGTTGTTGTTGTTGGGGTGTGTGTGTGTGTGTGTGTGTGTGTGTGTGTGTGTGTTATGCGGCGTCCCCGGGCCTCCCGAGCCGGGTGCACAGCGAGCAGCCGGCCATTCATTTGTGAACCGTGCATCCTGCACAGAAGCTCGGGCGGGTTCTGCTGCATCACCCAGGGAGAGGGAGGCTTGTGAAGCTCTCCGTAGGCTCCGTAGAAGTCTGAAAGACCCTCGAAACGTAAAGCCAGCGGAAGGGTCAGCCTAATCATCACCAACTGCCCTTCTCCCCCTTTTTACGACTTGGTGTTTGGACATACATTTTGTAAAGAAAGGTCGGCTGTGATTTTTCCTAGTGGAAGTAAACAGACATTTTAAAATACAGGTATAAATCTTCTGCATAGTTCCCCTCATGTGTGTTTTTTTTTTCAATCCTCACCCAAGGATATTTTTCCCCCATTGATTTTTTAGGGAGAGACAGAAAGAGCAACATCGATGTGTGTGTGGGTGGGGATGAGCCTGCAACCAAGGTATGTTGGAATCAAACCCACGACCCTGCTCTAACTACTGAGCCAAACCAGCTAGGTAGGACCCACCCCCTTCATATGAGGAATGTTGAGCATCTCATTACTTAATTGGGGGATGCTTTCTGAGAAGAAAAGCTACTTTTTGCCCAGTTATTTTCCTTCTACTCTGGTCTCACTGTCTCAACTCTCCTGCCAGTGTTCATGAGAATCTCAGATGTTCCATGAAGTGGAGGCTTCCATTATCTCAAGAGGATATAGGGCAGTGATGGCGAACCTTTTGAGCTCGGCGTGTCAGCATTTTGAAAAACCCTAACTTAACTCTGGTGCCGTGTCACATATAGAAATTTTTTGATATTTGCAACCATAGTAAAACAAAGACATATTTTTGATTTTTATTTTATATATTTAAATGCCATTTAACAAAGAAAAATCAACCAAAAAAATGAGTTCGCGTGTCAGAACCTGTGTCATTGGTTCGCCATCACTGATATAGGGTCATAGAAGTTATACCCTTATACTAAAAGCAGACTAGGGTAATATTTAAAATGTAAGAAAAACTCAGTATGTTTAAATCTTTTGACATTGGGAAGATGAGATAGAAGCCATATCAATGAACTCTTCTGATAATCCCCAAACTCTTTGGAGCCAGTGGGTGCCAAATTTAACACCCACCAAACTTTATAAAAAATCCATTGATTTTAGAGGGAAACATTTAATTGTTTGTTGTTCCACTTATTTATGCATTATTTGATTGATGCTTGTTATGTGCCCTGACCAGGGATTGAACCCACAACCTTGGCTACCCGGCCAGGGCTCACCCAACAACCTTTTTTGAAATTTATTTAAAGTACTAGAGGCCCGATGCACGAAAGTTGTGCAAGGGCCTTGGCCCGGGCCCCCGCCTGCCGGTAGCTGGGGGCCTCTGCCGCCTCTGCCTCGCCCCCGCCTGCTGCGGCTTTGTCCAGAAGGAAGGACATCCGGAAGGACCTCTGGTCTAATTAGCATATTATGCTTTTATTATAGATATTTTTATTGATTTGAGAGAGAAAGGGAGAGAGAGATAGATGGAAACATCAGTGATGAGAGATTGGCTGCCTCCTGCACACCCGCTACTGGGGATTGAGCCCAGAACCCAGGCATGTGCCTTGACTGGGAATCGAACCAGGATTTCCTGGTCCATAGGTTGATGCTTAACCACTGAGCCATGCCAGCTGGGCATGAAAATTTTTTTATTTTTTAAAGCAGTCATCACTTCGCATTTGTCTTCAGTGAGCTGTGCTGTAAATAAAAGGAGAGAAAGGGTCTGGCAGTTGATTGATAAAGACAAGGCAGGATGTTTTTTCTTCATTTTCTCATAATAAGTAGCAAGTAGTAAAGTTCACGTGACCTTCTTATTACCTGTACTTTTTTTCTGCCCTCAGTGACTTAGGAAGAAGATCCTTTTTTGTTCCAGACCAGACTGGGCCTCTGTTCTCAAAATTAGTGCTCGTGGTGTGTCCAACACAGGAGCAAACTGTTCCAGAGCATAATGACGGTAAGTCTGAAGGTGGCTGAGCATTAGAATCAGGGCTCTGTGGGAGACTAAGGGACCTGTGACAGGGAGTGAGAAATATACAGCACAAATGGACAGTCTCAGCTGGAGGGCACTTCCAGAGCTTCCACTATCATGAAGCAGGTGGCTGTTGGCCAACTTCAGGAATTACACTGAGGCCAGAGGTCTACTCAGAAGAGCAGATCTTGGAACTGCTAGCAGTTCCTGCCCATCCTGCCCAGGGGTACCGAATCCCAGATAAAGAAGCACCATCTACAGAGCATTGAGGAAGCTGTGGCCTTGGTATACCTCTTGCATAGAGTGAATCTGCTCAAATGGGAAATGGGTGAGAAGAAAAATTCCTGATAAATAACAAAGAAATAGGATGAAGGTAGATATTTGGGGTATAGGGGCATGTAATTGAGAAATAAGATGAGTTAGGTCAGCGATCTATTGTTTCTTTGGACCATTTAAGGCAGGACCAGAGACCACAGACATAGCAATAGTTATTCCACAGATTTCAGAGACCCTGGCAGAGACTTCCATGGCCTTACAAAAAGAATTGGTGTTTTCCCCTCTTTAGAGCAGGGTGTATTGAGGGTAATAAACTTAGTTAGTCTGGCTTAACCTATGGGATGGATCTTAAGTTCTTAGAAACAAAGGGCAACAAGGAGTTGGAGAGTAACAGGGAGAACAAAAAATGGATTATACTTAGAGAACAAAAGAGAGAAGATAACAAAGAGGAAAAAGAAAAAAGGGAAATCAAGGTTTGGAAATCCCAACAGAGTGGCTGAGATAAGAAAGATGTTGTGGGATAGTGTCCTCTATGCCATAGTTAAGACCCTGCACTGCCCTCCCTTAGGGGTTGGTTCTTGGCTCATCTGGTAAGTGGGAATCCAGGGTATGCCCTTGGGCAGGTGGCAGCATATCAGCTGGCTTCGGGTCTACTGTCAGGAATACAGGACAGGCCGGACTGGCATGGCTCAGTGCTTGAGACTCAACCTAGAACCAGGAGGTCACAGTTTGATTCTCACTCAGGGCACATGGTGGATTGTGGGCTTGATTTCCAGTAGGGGTCGTGTAAGAGGCAGCCGATCAATGATTCTCATCATTGATGTTTCTATCCCTGTCTCCCTCTTCCTCTCTCTGAAATCAATTAAAAAAACAACAACACATATGTATATTAAGAAAAAATTTAAAGACCACAGGGCAGGACATATGTTTGGTGTCAAATCATTTGGAAGGATGTTGGAACCAAGCTCATTCCTCCCCCTTCTCCATTTTATCAACATTCTCTGATCATAGAGAAAATCTGGTTGATAGGACAGTTAAAATTTTTAATCTTTTGAGAAAAGTATAAGATAAATCACTGCAGTGGGGATCAAAATGAAGAGAGAGAGGCTGTCAAGACAGCATGAACACAGGTGGCCCTCACAACCCTGCTAGTGGTCTGAGCTAGGCTGTATGTAGAGGCTACTTTGTTGAAGGGCTGGCAGTAGCCACATCTTTTTCCTTTTATCCTAAATTTCCCTGACTTTGTGGAAAATGGGTGGGTGTTTTCACACTTCCCACAATCTGGACTATATGCTTTCTCCTCTTCCACAAGCCCCAAGCCTCAAGTAATTCTGGTAACATGGATGGGAATTATTTCTAGGTTGCAGTCCATGTGCTGGGAAAGGAGGCAGTGCTCTTGGGAGAAACAGCAGAGACCTCAGGCTTCAAACTGAGGCCAGCAGAGTCCCAGCCAGTGGGCAGGTCCCAGGATGAAGAATTTTGGAATGAATATCAGGATCAACAACAGCTGAGCAGGAATACTCATAAAGAAACTGAGCCTATGTGTGAGAGGGGTAAGGAGCTTCATGATAATTTCTTTCTGCTGGGAGCTGTCATAGTAATTTGTCCAGCCAGAACATTGTGAGCACTTTCTGGGTTCCCAGCTTTGTGGATGTGCAAATGTAGTCATGTTAGCAATTATGATTACTCCTACCCCCACCCCTCACAGATGGCCTTAGAATAGACCAGCTGTTGTGAAGGAGGGGATTGGCCTAAGGTACAGAAATATCCCAACCAGAGGACCCTGGTAATAACACCATGAACACTGTTCCTTAGCAAAGTGGAGGATTGGGCCACCCCATCCTCAAATCACAGAAGGAATTGGGATCACAAATGGGCTGTCAGTGGCAGTATGTGAACTATAATTGTGTACCATGAAAATAAGTAAATGATAAATAATACATCTACTGTACACTGGAGTCCCTCAGAATTTCATTTTCAAATCCATTACATTTTTCTTAATTCAGAACTATCTATATATATAAAAGGCCAATATGCTAAGTGTCCCTCTGATCATCCAACTGGTAGCTGTGACACACACTGACCACCATGGGGCAGATGCTCAACACAGGAGCTGCCATGGTGCGTACTGGCTATTTACAAAGAAGTGGCACCACAGATCTGGTGCTGACAAACCAACACTCAGTTTCCCCCAGGTGGGACACAGGCCTCGCCACCGCCCCAGAGCAACACCCCACCAAATCGCAGCCAACACTGCTGAGACCCCATGGCGCAAAATGCAGTCCACAGCCCAGCCCAGAAACGGGTGCTGTGGGTGCAGGGTAATGATGTCACATAGCAACGCCCAGCTTCCTCTCCCTAGTGACTAGCCTCCTTGGAGTTTCTTCAGCCCAGGAACATGACTTGCTTTAGAGCCAGGTGCAAACATTTTACACTTTAACCAAATGTCTGTGAAGCATTTTCCTGTGCCTCATGTCATTTGATCCTCACAGAAATCCTGTAGTAGGTAGATAGGAGACTTGGTGGAATCCTATTTTCTTTTCATTAGCTGGAAAACAGATTTAGAAACTTGACCCGACTAAAAAGAAGTAAGAAATGGTGGACCTTGAAAATGACTTCAGGTTTTCTCACTGTGCAGAATATAGTCAAACACTGCTGCAGTTAAATATTTTACCGTTCTCCTTATGTCATCTACAATAATAATCTGCTTCGTGTTGATATTTACTGCTGTGTTGCTGACAATTATCTGAAAGAGAAGTTGGGGTGCTTCACTGGGCTGGAAAAAGTTTAGCTACATCAGAAAGCAGGTCTAATTAAGCAAGTTTATTCTCTATATATAAAAGGCTAAGTTGACTCACGCATGCGTAATACATATAAACCTCTTTCTGGCGCCAATCGCACACATGTGTTTCAATCTGTCAATGTCGATCGTGAATTTGATTGACACTTCTATTATAGAGAAAGGGCAAATAGCGATATTAAAATATTTCTTCTAATTAATTTCCTTTCAATGTGCACAAATCCGTGCACCAGGCCTCTAGTTTGTCATAAGAGGAAAATAAGAAGGATTTTTGTTTTAGCTTCATGAAAACTAGGCAGCCTGTTCTGGGGTTGATAGATACTTGGTTCTTATTAACAATGATAAGCCCACTTATGGTCACCACAGTGAAAGAATCAAGATCTTTATTTTAGAAATGAGCTCAGGATGTGCATAGAAGTGAGAGAAATTTCTGATGGCTCTTTTCCATCCATAGCTATGCCTACTCACCAGATCCTAGAATTTCCTGAGCAGACAAATACCAAAGACTGGATAGTGGCACCTGAGTTCATCTTGCCTGAGTCCCAGGTGAGCCATGCTTTTGAGCTTTTCTCTGTTGCCCATGAGACCTACACTGCCCAGCAGGTGCTCAGAGGCATGTTAGCCCAGATGTTTTTCTGGGGAACTGGACACCTCATGGACTGTTTGCTGATCCCTTGCCTCCTTCCTTTCTGCCTTCTCACTTAAAAAACACACACAACAAAACATGTACTGGGCCCTGGTGGGATAGCTCAGTTGTTTAGAGTGTCATCCCAGTATGCCAAGGTTGCAGGTTCGATTCTCCGATTAGGGCACATACAAGAAGCAATCAATGAATGCATAAATAACTGGAACAGCAAATCAATGTGTCCCTCCTCTCACTTTCTTTTTTCTCTCTCCAATCAATCAATAAAAGAATTTAATAACAAAACAAAAAAATCATGTGCTGTTAATGCCTTCAGCCTATCATGCAGTTCATGGGCTAGATATTAGAACTACTTCTGGAGTGGCCAGTACTGAGCTGAAGCCCATTCTCTTCTTTAGAGCTTGTTGACGTTTGAAGAAGTGGCCGTGTATTTTTCCCCGGAAGAATGGGAGTTACTGGACTCCAGTCAGAAGGCCCTCTACAATGACGTAATGCAGGAAAACTATGAGACTGTCATCTCTCTAGGTAAAGGTTCTCCCCTTTGTGTAGAAGTTGAGTGATATGTCATGTTTTCAACTTACGGGGAATGCACACTCGTGTGAGAGAGTCTGTTCCAGGAGCTGGTTGGTTCTCCACTCGATGGTGTGGACAGGAAAAGGTGAGTGCAGGTCACTTTGGAGCTCCTTTCAAGTACACATTCCTTATCCTGCATAGAATTTTTGACCTCCTTTCTCTCTTCCCTCACAAACCTGCTCTTCTCATATCTTTCTCTACTCAGTAAAGGGCACCTTCATTCACCCAGTTGCTCAGAGCAAGAAAAATATAGTCGTTTACTCTGATTTTGCCATCATATCCCACTACTAATGCATCACTAGTCCTCTTGAGTCCACATTCACAGTATTGTGTGAGTCCAACCATGTCTCATCTTCTTGTGCTGTTAACATCGGGTCTAAGCCATCTCTGACCAGGTTTACCTCATTCACTTTCTAACTAGCTCTTCCTGCCATCAGCCTTGCCCTCCCATCATCTGTTTTCCATGCAGCAGCCAGAGTCTTTTAAAACCTGATCAGATGATGACATTTTCTTGTTTCAAAATCTTATGATGACTTCTCATCCATTTAGAATAAAATAAAGCCTCCTTACAAAGGCTTCCGGTTCTCTCTCAATCTGGCCTCTATAACCTCCTTGCCCTGGGCTCCTGCTGCTAGTGCCCTTGTTCAGTTCTCTTTAGCCACACTGTTCTTAATGCTGTTCTTTGAACTTGCCATGCTCATTTGTACTTTCGGCTTCCCTCTACCCAGCACACTTTTCTGCCACAGGGCAAAACTCTCACTTTTAGGTCAATTCAAATATCACTTTCTCAAAGAGGCCTTCCACAGAGCCATATCTCAAATAGCTTAATAGAAGCAGAATCTTTTTTTTAATGTGTGTGGTTTTTTTTTAAATAATGTTTTCATTGATTTTAGAGAGAGAGAGGAAGGGAGGGGGATAGAGAGTAACATCAGTGAGAGAGAAACATTGATCATTCCCCACCAGGGATCAATAGATAGGCAAAGATAGATTCCCACAACCTGATCTGGGAATCGAACCGGGGACCTCTTGGTTCATGGGTTGACGTTCAACCACTGAGCCACACTGGCGGGGCGGGAAGTAGAGTCTTAAATGCTCTCTTACCCTGCTTTTGTTTCTCTTAAAACATTTATCATTTCCTGCCGTTTCATTGATTATTCATGTTTGATTGTCTCACTCTCCCACTAGCAGATAAATTCTCTGAGATCAGGGAACTTTGGCTTATGCATCACTATATCTGTTATTCATAGAGAGTGTCTGGCACACCATGGCCATTTGATACACATGTTAAAAGACTGAATGATGACTACGTCTCATATTTGATAATACATAGTTACAAAAAGTCCACTAAGTGATTCTGGTTTGTTTCATCCAATGGGATGTGAACCAATGAGCTATGAGTGGTAGAAATACCAGTTTAGTATCTGGTGTTCGGCTGCTAAATAAAAAGTATAATTATGACAGCAATCACTTATGCATATGATTCCCACCCCACTGGCCTTTACTTTGACTCCGCTAGACCAGATGTTATTCAGGGTGAGTCCTAAAGAGTTGATAGAACTAGCCTGCATTCCCTGCAGCCTCTGGAGTTTATTCCAACTCAGTCAAGTGTGGGGTATTATTGGTGGCAGAAGAGGGGGAATATGCACAAGATTCCCATGAACTGTGTCCTTTTGATCAATCAAGCTAGCTAGGTTTATTTCTTAATCTCCACTTTGCATATCTATTCACAAATGCAGTGTAGTATCAACCTGATATCTGATATGAGAGTCTATTCATTTAACCATTTGGGGTAACAAACTGTAAAAGTATTCTTTGTTGTTCCTGAAATAGTCTATAATTAATGGACATAGTTAAATTAGCGGTCCTTGACCTCAGTTTTTCCATTTCATAGCCATATTTGTGTTCCCCAAACCTACAGTGACCTGTCTAGAGCAAGAGAAAGAGCCATGAGTTCAAGGATCCGTGGAATTCAAGGACAGTCCTGGAGTGCTGCCTATAGATAAATACACCATGAGAAGAAGGGAAATGTGCCCTCAAAAAAAGTCTTTGCAAAGACTTAACAATTTAAGATTCTACTTATCTATATTTTAAAATTGAGTAATCATTGAATTTTTGTCTCTATTCTTGAGGTTTCTTTCTGCTATTTAGTTGGTTGATTTTTATGTTTATTCCAACAGGGTTAAACCTCAAAAATGACATTGAAAATCATCAATCTATATGCCTTTCTGACTTAGAAATGCCAACACCAGGAGACATAGTTTCAAAAATGGACAGAGTGAAAGTTCCTCAGAAAACAACAGTCCAAGAAAATCATGGTGATATACACAGGGTGGGGAAATGGCACCAAGACTTTTCAGTGAAGGAAAGAGAGAAACTTTCAACCTGGAGACAAGAGCTGCTGAAACTTATAGATCGTCACAAGAAAGAACGTGCAGGAGAGAAGTCTTTTAAATGTCAGGAATGTGGGAAAAGCTTTAGAGTTAGCTCTGGCCTTATTAAGCACCAAAGAATTCATACTGAAGAGAAACCGTATAAATGCCCACAGTGTGATAAGAGATTTAGGTGGAGTTCAGATCTTAATAAGCACTTCACATCACACCAAGGGATAAAACCATATAAATGCTCATGGTGTGGGAAGAGCTTTGGTCAAACTTCAAATCTACACACACACCAAAGAACTCACACCGGAGAGAAGCCCTTCACATGCCATGAATGTGGGAAAAAATTCATTCAGAACTCCCACCTTATTAAACACCGGAGAAGCCACCTATAGCATATGCATGAGAAACTTCAGCAGGTGGTCAAGCCTTCTCAGGCACCAGAAACCACCAATGAAGGGAAGCTTGTTCAATGTCCTCAGGCTGAAGAATTTTATCAAGTGGAGCTTGACCATAAAGTTTATGAAAATGAAAATTTATGAAGCATGAAAAATTTTTCATCAGTGGAAAATTTGGGGATATAAACTTTCACAGAAAGGAATCAAGCTGGACTCTGCAGGGGACATAGTAGTAGTTGTATTAGTACTGTTTTTACTTACCCTTCGGGGAGTTTCTTAGCGAAAGGTGTTTGAAAAACCTTCTGAATGAGGGAAAAATCTGTTTGGGATTGTACCTGGCAATATAGCAAATTCAGCTTCAAATAGTACACGAAACTATGAATCAATCATCTGTGGTCACAGACGTAAATATTGTTGGTTTTCCCACCTACTCTTAAACATGTGATAGAAACATTTGTAGCAGGGTCTTTTGTAACAAAAGCAATAACATCCTTGTTTTATTGCATACTATTACTTCAGGGTAATAGGATAATCAATTTCAATAGTCTCATAGGGTAGAAATGAATTCTATTGTAAAGTTTTCCAAGAACCAAATTGTACTTTCTTCCTCTCATCATTGGACATCATGTGAATCCTTGAACTTTTTAGCTACTTTAGCTCTTGAATCCTATTAGCGCAATTTTTCTGTGATGGAATCATATTTACTTCATCACTAGGGTATCTGCCAAATAACTAATATCTTATGCCTCTCATTGATGGTATTTGAGAAAAGAAAACATTCCTAGTAGATCATATGGAAACAGTTGAAATTTTTAGCCATGGAGTATGTGTTAGATGTAACCTAAGGTGGGGTGATCCGGGCAGTTCTTGATGGCTCAGGACATCTACTGGGCTGGCCACTTCATTCTCCTCTTCACCCCTATGGGTTTCTCTCTAAGAGCGTAACTTATTTTCCAAACAGTCAAGGAAGAGAATGAACATGTTTTGTTACCCCAAGTTCAGACAAACCCAGTCTTGCTCTCCTTAAGTACCTTGAATGATTTTTCTCATTAAATTTTTTTTATCACTAACTTAAATAAATAAAGAAAGAAAGAAAGAAAGAAAGAAAGAATTTCCTGCAAAACAAAGTAAATCATTTCCTTCCCTCACAAGGTTAATAGGATAAAACAATCATAAAAATTAGCACTTTCCTGAGGTCTAAAATAAAATTAATTGGAGCTTAGGATCAAATTCTCAGGATTTTGTTTGTTTACTCATTAATTTGACTTTTGTTTTTAAGAACAAGGAGAGAGTTTATGTTTGGGTATAGGACTGTGTGCTGCAGACAGGATTCTGTGGCTCACTGGTCATGGTGGGAATTCAGTCAGCATAAGACCAGGTTTCCAAAAAAATGTTTGAGGACTCATGCTCAGTGGTGGGCAAATTGGGAAGATCTACACCCATGTTGGTTGTCTTACACTGCAATCTATTTAACAGGCACGGTCCACCAGTGTCTGTTTTCTCCAGCGCAGCAATTAGCAGTTGCTTTGGGAGAGTTTGATAGACTGCTGACCATCTCTCTAGACTGTGAGTTTTCTTTTTCTTTTTATTTAAAATATTTTTTTATTGATTTCAGAGAGGAAGGGAGAGGGAAAGAGAAACATTAATGAGAGAAAATCATCAAGTGGCTGCCTCCTGCACGCTCCCCTAGGGATGGAGCTCGCAACCCTGGCATGTGCCCTTGACTGGAATTGAACCTGGGACCCTTCATTCCACAGGCTGACACTCTAAGCCAGACTGGCTAAGGCTCTTTTAATTTGTTTTAGAGAGAAATATCGAGTTGTTGTTCTACTTAGTCATGCATTTATTGGTTTATTCTTGTGTATGCCCTTCCTGGGGATTGAACCCGCAATCTTGGCATATCAGGATAATGTTCTAACCAACTGAGCTACCGGCCATGGCTAGTCTGTAGGTTTTCTAATAATTCACCCTTGCCGAAACCAGTTTGGCTCAGTGGATAGAGCATCGGCCTGCGGACTCAAAGGTCCCAGGTTCGATTCCGGTCAAGGGCATGTACCTGGGTTGCGGGCACATCCCCAGTAGGAGATGTGCAGGAGGCGGCTGATCGATGTTTCTCTCTCATCGATGTTTCTAACTCTCTATCTCTGTTCCTTCCTCTCTGTAAAAAATCAATAAAATATATTTTTTAAAAAAATTCACCCTTTATCTTTGACTCAGATTTGTTCCTTTAAGTGCTTTTAGGTAGTATTAGGAAAAAGGTTCCAAATGTGTTATTTCACAAATGAGGAAGTTAGGGCTCAAATATTCAGGGACTTGATCTGTTCAAGACCCCATAGCTAGTGGGTCTGTTGGCTGTCACTTAGCTTCATCAGTCAGACCTGAAGGCAGGATTATCAGGACTTTGTATGTTATCTCCACGGAGCCAGCCTAAATGACATTGTATCTATTTCTATTTCTAGCTTATAAAACAGTCCTGTTTCTTGATTGGTTACTGAAACCCTCTCAAGTCTCTTTTCTCAATGAAACAGAGAAAACACCTCATGGTTGATGTGGGGATTTCAGGGGTTGACGAAAGAAGAGCACCTATCAGCCTGGCTCCATCAATGTGTGTGTTTTCCCTGCTCCCTAGTAATATGTTGGGTGACTGACTACATTAAGCTCTGACTCAGATGTCTTCCTCCTAAGAATGTGATGAAAGGTGTGTGTGTGTGTGTGTGTGTGTGTGTGTTGTTCCACTTACTCATGAATTCATTGGTTGATTCTTGTATGTGACGCTCTACTGAACTACCCAGCCAGGATGCATTGGTGGCTCTTGCAGCTCCTTTCAGGAGCTGAGCCCTGGTAGTAAGGGATATGCTGTCTTGGTTTGGTCTGTGACTTCAGTGCTTTTCTGTGTAAATCACCTGAACTATCTGGCACTCTCAGTGGGATTTTATTTTGTTCCCAAGATAAACTACACCAAGTATTTCTATATCAAGGCCGGCTCTGAATCTCTAGTCTGCATAGCTCTTACCCAACAGCCTCAGCCTTAGACCCCTGGGACTCTGTCTCTTCTCCCAAGATACATGTGGATTTCTTTCTAGCACTACTCATTCATTTAATTCGATGAGGGCCTGTTATGTGCCCAGGCATGGACTGTTGTAGACCAAGGATATAGCAGTGAACAAAAGAGAAAAAATGCATATCCTCATGTAATTTGTATTTTAGTGAATAGTAAAAAGGAAAATGGTTATGCTTTTCTGCTCCTTGCAGTTAGGCTCATCAGGTTGTTCATTGGGTTGTGAGCAGAAGCCTCATTTCTGGACTGAAGCATTTATTTGATGGTGCGGAACTCTGCAGTGCTCTCCTTTCTCGCCTCAATCATGGAAGCACATTCAGAGAGAGGAGCCATGAGATCAAACCAGTTTGGAATGCTGTCTCCCACATGGCAGGACAGCAGTCTGGAGAGTCCCCAGACCTATAATGGGCTTTGTGGGGATGAGAAATAAACCCTTGTGCTTAACCACTGAGACATTAGTGCTGTGTGTTTCTACTATATGACCTGGCCTGTTTCAAAAAGTTCAAGGTCTTAGTGACACAGTCATCTTCTTGATCTCCATGGGCTTGACCTTGTCACCTGTGGCAGTAATGGCAAAGCTAACCAAGTCTGATTCTTTTCACAATCAGACTCTGCTCTTTCCTGTCAATGCAACCAACGCCAGAGAGAAGCAAAGGCTTTGGATCCCGAATTTTCCAGGTGGTGGTGGTGGACTACTCTTTAGCAGTCACTTGACTAAACCTACCCTAAGAAGAGCTACTTATCTTTATCCTGTTTGTTTTGAATCCTCACTGGGGGATATTTTTAAAATTGATTTTAGAGAAAGAAGAAAAAAAAACCCATGGATGTGAGAAACATGGATCTGTTGCTTCCCGTACTTGCCCCTGCCGGGGATTGAACATAGGTATGTGCACTGGCCAGAAATCGAACCCTCAACCTTTTTTTTTTTATGGGTGGATATATGGGATGATGCTCCAGTCAACTAAGCCACATGGCCAGGGCTCCTTATCCTGTTCTTATAGTTAAACCCATGCTCCACTCTCATCTGCAGCCTAAGAAACACACCTTCAGGGTGCACTGCAGAAGTTTCTAGGTGGCTGAGGAGAAACATGACGAGGGCTGTGGAGAAGTACTGTTCTCCCCCTGCTTCTTTTCACAGTCAGACTCTGCTCCTTCCTGTCAATGCAGCCATCTGGTTACATTGCCCTCTGAACAGGGAGACAACAAGATACCCTAGAAAGTTCATGACACTGGAGCCAAAGGTACTTGAGCATTTTGTTATATTCTGCAATTATGGTAGTCAGTGGATTTCTCTGATACTGTTTCACCACCTGTAAAATAAATAGCTTGCAGATATGTTGCAAGGATCAAAGTAGATAAGTGTGCTTAGAATAAATTGCTCAGTGTTATGCTTAATCAAAGATGGGATATATAACCTCAGGAGGTATATCAGTCTATTTCATATTTCACCTCCTTCCATTTATATTCTGATGAACTACGCACCTTCATTGTGCAGCAAGAGTATTTAGAAATGATTGAGGGATGAAGGGGGACAGAATAAAGGCAGATCATGTAGAAACTGCCACTATTTTTTCCCTTACACTAAACACCCCAATTCATTAGCTCCCTCTTGAATATATCCAGAAAATTGCAATCTAGAATAACACATGAATATTAAGGAACGTGTCATATCAAAAGGGAAATGATTGAAGATTGAATATGTTGCAGTACATACCTAAATGCATTTTTTTTTTAAAGATGAGGTCAATATATTGAAATAAAAACTTGAAAAGGTAGTACATGGGCATAAATACAGATTAAGGTCCAGAAAGATCTATACAGTATTAATCATTTCCTCTGAGGAGTGTAATTTTGAGGTAAGAAAATGACGAGACTTTATTTTTAGGTGAGAATATTTTGCAGTATCTATGCAATATTAATAACAGGATAAAACATTGGGTTAAAAAAAGTTTTAGTCCCACTTTTAGCATTAGGCATTAAAAGAATGCTCAGTCTTTCTCTTATCTCTACCCAGAAGTCAAGCCAGGATGAGCAACTGGACTGCAAGGAGTCTAGAGCTAATAACAATGAAAGCAAGGATTCATCCATGAGCAATGGTTCAGGATACCAGAAGTCCCGGGCTGTTCTTAAACTGACTGGTAAAGAATCCTCTTACAGAAGAAGCATAGAAGAGGTAGCAAGAGCAAAGGAAAGTGGGGTAAGGAGGTTTCAGGGGCCTAGCTCTGCTTTAGCTATGACCACCCGTCCACCACCTTAGGCTGAGGAAAAAGGGTGACAATAGGCCAGTGATGTGGACCTATGACACACGTGTCAGAGGTGACACGTGAACTCATTTTTTTGGTTGATTTTTCTTCGTTAAATGGCATTTAAATATATAAAATATCAAAAATATA